ACCCACACCCCACCCACACCCTAGTTAGTGACCTTTTTCCGTGAATTTATTAATCGGTCAGAGACGAACTAGGATTCATTGACTTGACTTTGGATAGCTTTTAAATATAGAATTCAAGTGATATATTATGTATCCACTTTGACTTTTTCGTGAGGTGGTTATAGCCACATTAATCTCGCGTGACATTTTCGCATTATTTCTTCTCTTTTGCACGAAAGAAAAACTTTCTGACGCTGATATTTTTGATGATAGTTGGCCACAATGAGCTGATAAAATAATCGAAATTTCAGCTCAAAGTACCGTACCTGAAGAGAGTTATATATCGGACAAAAGAAAAAATCTCGCGCGACATTTAGTGTGACAACTATGTTTTTAATCTATATTGCTTATTATATTCTAACAAAGACCAGCACAAGTCTCATATCGTCTTTAGTTACTTTTATCTCCTACCAACGGACTCTCGTTCAACACCAGCCCGACCAACTTTAGACGCATTGTTACATACTGAAGTCATTTTCAATCTCGCGTAACAGGAATTTGACGGTTGACTGTACACATGATATACAGACAAAAGTGTCATATCAAATATCATGGAACAACCAATCAGTTTTATATCCGATAAGTACATACTGTTAACTATAATATTTATAACTTTTGAAGTTCAAATGAAAGGAGAACCAATCGGTTATATGACATTTTCTTCCAATAGGTAGCAGTCAAAGTCGGCCTATTTATCCTTGTGCTCTTAATATCTCAAGATCTATTCAAGATAAAATCGCGATTTTTTTGTGTAATAGTGAGAACTTACTAGAGGATTCTACCCTGAAAAAACCATAAAGACTGAATGAGTGGAACTCGAGATATTAAACTTATACATGTAAGAATCCAACGGTACAATAATTTTGCAATTCACCCATATATTCATGATTATAAAAAATTCAGTTTAAATATATTTATACAAAAAAAGAAAAAGAAAAATGCAGGATTATATAATGAATATTATCTATTATTTACAAAAGTAATAAATTAAACTTTTATCACAAAATTAAAAACACTATGATTGATTGCACTCTGTTAGAATGAATGTAAAGAAATACTTTAGGCGGATACTGCACATTGTTGAAGATTTGCATCCCAATTTCGTTGAATAAGATATGCACTGCCACCAACAACCATATTGTAGTGAGCTCCATTTGAAAGCCGATAAAGAGTTCCATATGTGTAGGCACTAAAAATAACAAAAGCAATTACTTGTGAATAATACATTTATGTTTTGAATATAATTTACGTAATCTCTATCGTATTATATTTAAAAAATATTCATTTATCATAGATAGATAAAACTTGTTTAAAAGAACATATTATATTTTTTTTATTCAGTATTGATTTCGTAAAAGTTATCGTCTAATAGAATACTGTTTCGACATAGCTCTTTATTCCCTTTAAAGTTTGAACAATCAATAAGTTGGCTTTGTTTTGATTCATACATAAATATTAATCTTTCAACTGAAGTGAAAGAAAAGAAAACTAGTCTCAGCACAAATCTAACGTATAATTCATATAGTTTTCAAGTCTTAGTTAAAACATATTGCAATTCATTACATTTTATACTTTCTCAGAATTAATAATCAAAACTGATTTAAAGAAAAAGATGGTTTACTATAAGATTACATATTGACTAATTTATTTTTATTCGCGTTGATATTTTAGTACATATATAAAACAATGGATCTCAATATATAAAATGCATATAGTTTGTTCGTATTTTAGATAGATTTCGACGATATATCATGGAAAATTTTCTTTTTCCTATTTGTAATATTTCAGTACATGAAAATTGATTTGTATACATATTCTCTATCGAGTAATACTTTAGAATTTTTTCTTTTTTAATTATAACTAGACAATGGAATAATGTTGAAAAATAATATAAAACATTTGGCGTCATCAAGATTGATGATTTGATTATATAATCATAAAAATTCATAAGAAGTCAACCAAATTTTTACATTATTTCTCTAATATTTTAAGAACACAAAAATATTTTTTTTTTGATTTTTTTATTAGTATAATTAGTAAAGAGATTAATATGCGAAATGATATAAAATAAATTATAATGTTTTATTTTTTAAATCTATATTTAATCTATTTCGGTTAATGATCGATCTATTAGTTACAGTATCTGTCTGATAAGAAGAACACATTAATTTAAATGCTTAAATATATGTAGATAAGTATTAACCTTAGCTAAGCTCACAACCATACTAAAATCTATCTATTCAAAGCAAATTAATATAATAGTTTAATATTAACTTTCAAGAACTAAAATTATCGAATGAAAGAAACATATCTATTTTGTTCTTTCAAAAATCTAAAAATTCTATTTCTTATCTTAACAAAACTTTTAACATAGATCATTATTGTTGACTTAAAAATGAATGATGATAGTTATCATACAAAATCTTTCTCGTAATAAATATGCTAGAAAAATGTATTTGATATCTGATAAATAGTAATTCTATTATTCTACTTACCATTTATCAGCATTTTCCTCCCCATTTGAATCTCCCCATGCATCTAAGTATGGATCAGATTTAGCTTCCACTAATTCATGTGCAATTGGACTTAACATAGCATCAATACCAACATCACTATTAGGTGAAACATTATAATTATAGACAGCACAACCGTCCATACAATTCAATGGATTTTCTATAAATCCATAGATGTAAATTGTAGATCCAACAGAGAAATACGTATGATATCCGCAATATTGACTACAAAAAGATGCACCTGGTGAAGAACTTTCCATTACATCTGGAGAACTAAGCATCAAATAGATACTGTTTGGATCATTTGGTAATTTTCCATTATAAATACTATTGTAAATTATATTTGGTACATCCATATCAGTAAGTTTGTTTCCATAACTATAGTTATCTGTTGTTGTTGATCCGAGAGTAACAGTACCTGTTGTATATATTCTATTACTTTGAGCTGTAGCTTGATAGTAATAGGTTTTTTCGCTGTTAAACCATGGTGAACTTCCAATATTCGAAATGAATTTATTTATAATATTTTTTTTTGATTAGTACTCCAAGTACCATAATACTATACACGAAATGATGCATCTAATTAAATAATAAATAAATGATGTGAAGATACTTACCACAATATGAATAGGTGTACAATTAGTTAATACATAACCACCAATACTATAATATATAGGATTGGTAGATGACAAACTATTTGCTAAATAATTTTCGTTCTTATTGTATATTTCGTCTATGGCAACTTTTCCAATATGAATTGTAAGATTGTGTTTTTGTTCTACAATAATATATATTTATATATTTTTACAATTAAAAGATTAATTATGAAATTTGACTAATAAAATGAAATATGATCAGAATAAATCATTAACAATTATAACTATTCCATATCGTTATAGAAAAATCTTTTTTATTATTATACTATCATACAAAAGATTTTTATGTACGAAAATTCAATATATTCTTCTAGAGAATCTATTGAATTATCGATCAAAATAAGATTTTATTCTTATCAGATTTTTATCAAATAAAGAATAGTTTTCTCACCATGTTCATCAGATTCATTATGTTTTGAATTTCGAATTATAAAACAATTCAATGGTTTAATGATATTGATAATGATCATAATTGCTAATAGACAAATAGTCCATGTTAATTTGATAAAAACCATATCGTCTAGAAATGTTACATTAAATATTAAAAAAAGACTTATGTTTTCTTCTTCTTAGAACTTACCTATAATAATTAAATTTTATGATTAAGATAAAATAAAAGAAAATAATGGTTATATTCGATAAAATTTCTCACTATTTATATAGTTCAACTTCTTTTTTGCTGTCGTCATTATATTTATCAATCTTGGATAAATACTCATACGCCATCATTATTATCATATTGATGTTGTCATTAGTCTCACTCATCATAAATACAACAAAACAATCAAAGGCAATCAACATAGAATGAATGAAAACCTATTAAATTACTTTCTATTTTTATATAATATATGCATTATAATTAGACGCATTCATATAGAGAATATAATATCCCATGAGTCAGATTTTTTGACTCTATTCACTAATTTCTTTCTGCTTCTTCATTAATGATTTGAAAATGTTTATCTAAAGATCGAATCTATTTTCAATGGAAGTTTTAATTATGTCAAACTCGACTTCGTCTAAATATAAATGGTCAAGTATTAAGATAAGCTTTAGTTGTTCGATTGTAAAGCTTTTTTGATACATAATCTTGTTCTATATTTTATTTTTCTTTTCACAAGATATTGATCGAATAAATGAAAAAATAATTTCATATTGCAAAAAAAAAGACGAAATCATATTTTGGCAGCGACAAAATTTTTTCGCTGGTTTTTCTTTTGATAAGAAAAAGGTCATAATTAGAAAATGTTTTAAACTACAAATAATAGAGATTCTTCACTACATCTTCTAGTATAGTTTATTTTTTTTAATAGACCCTATTTAAAAAATAAAAGTTCATCGAAGTATGTATACTCTTGGCCGAAAAAAACATTTTTGACCACGACGAGTGGTGTAGGTTAGGATAAAATTAATTAATTTTGTCATGTTTAACAAATCTATACAGGAGGTAAAGAATTTCTAATGTTCTATAGCATTTCCTAACTTTTTGAGAACAAGGCGTACAACTTTTCTTCGATTTGTTTTTTGTTAGTTGAGAAAATGCTGATATTGATCATAGATTAAGAATAAAGTATTTTGTAGTAGTTTGATAAATATTCGAATAAGTCAAGAACAATTTGATTCCAGTATTTGACTTGATCAATTCTCAGAACTGAAAAACTAAATTTGAAGAAAATTCAAGAAAATATATTAGAATCGTGATCATCGACTTATTACAATTTTATCAATACTGTGCAATACTACGCCGTTAAGTATTTGATCAGTACTCTCGAATATCCATATAATATTAGATGTTTTTCATCGGAGTACTGATCGAAGTATCTGATTTATATTTAAAAGTACTTAAAGTTACTTGAGTGCTTAAAAATTCCTCTGACATATTAATACATCTACTGTATTTTGATTGAAGGACGGGGGCGCATAAGACCGTAATTTGGCCCCTTTGGACTTTTCATACTATATCCAGCACAATCATATACAAAATGAAAGAGCTTCAACTGGCGAGTACTTTCCAATACATTTGAGAACTTCCTACCTTATGATTTTAAATAAACTCATTACGATTGCATAGTAATTACATCAGAACTTTTCAGATTAGTTTTCTCCATATAAATTCAAGAAATTCAGCTTCAATTATACATCATTGAATAGCTCTTTTCACAAGCTACAAAACCATATAGTTTTTAAAATTACTAAAAGTGAGCTCATCAAAAAGTCCAAGACCACTAAGTAAAAACTATGCATATTTTTACATATAGTGCAACATAGTAGCCGCAGCAGCAACAACATCTATCTCCATCGGCTTCAAAACAACGGATAGTCTATATAGAGTGAAAAAAAATGCTTACTGTAGATTCTTCATCTTGATTCTTAGAATCGTTGTCTAATGAAAAATCCAACTGGTCGAAATCACTGCTCATTAACTGATGTCACCAATCATACTTATTCCGACAAGATTTGCAAAGATAATATCCTACTTTCACATGCCTTTCAGTCTAAACTGCCACATACACCCCCAAGAGAAGTGACGTGACCGATAAGTACTTATAATCACCTTTGTGAATCCGATTTTCGCACACACAGCATTGAACTTTTTCTACATGAGGCATAATAGAATACGTATTATGAAACAATGTAACACTGCTATAGATATGTGGCTCTTTTTTTACAATTTAACAGCCACGCGTCCTTATAAATAACTCCGCTAAAATAATAATGACGTTATCTCTTTAGTATTGCTCTTAATCGTATGTTGTTCTCACTTTTACATATAAGATTTGTTCCTGCTTGTATGAAGCTACGCCGGATTCTTTTTCTCTTTCATTTTCTATGATTCTCACCGGTTTCGTTTCTCCCTTTTTTTGATGATAGAGAAGAAAAACAATACACAAGATTTCTCAATTTCTCTTTGACAGCCTACATCTACACTATGTTTTCCAGTATCCTGTTTTTCTGTGCATACATGATCACCAAACACAGCATTAAATCCATTCAGAGAGTATCAATAGTAGATTGATATCAGATGTAACTATGATTCATGAGCTTCTGCTTCACAAATTCCAAAAACAGTGTGAATATGACAATATTTAAACGAATGTATTTGCAAAACTCGTATGGTTTTTTTTAACCGAAAGAAGTAAGATCTAAATAAATCTGATCACCACTAGAGCGATAGAGCCAATAGTCGTCCTACGATTATTTAATACAATTATAATAATCTAGATGTCAATGATAATATGAATCTCATATAAAAATTGATGTCGCATCTGACTTTCGGAAAAAGATAACAAAAACATGAAACGGTGTCACTCTTTTTACAGAGTTACAAAAACAATATGTACCTATCTCATTATAGTGTTTCCATTTTTCTAATTCCAAAAATACTAGATTTTTATAGCTGACAGAAAACGCTATCTGACAAGTTATAACAGGGGTTGACTTAAGAAAGTTTTTGAAGGCATGGTAACTCAAACACGTTATACTATATGTAAAACTATAAGCATAGTTTTTACTTTGTGGTCTTGGACATTTGATGAGCCCACCTTTAGTAATTTTAAAAACTATATAGTTTTGTAGTCCGGGAAAAAAGCGATTCGTTGATGTATAATTGAAGCTGAATTTCTTGAATTTATATGGAGAGAACTAATCTGAAAGGTTCTGATGTAATTACTATGCAATCGTAATGAGTTCATTTAAAAACATAAGGTAGGAAGTTCTCGAATGTATTGGAAAGTAGTCGCCAGTTGAAGCTCTTTTATTCTGTTTTAAGCTTAGATCCTTATTGAAGAAAATAGATCTGCTATAAAAATAAATTCATAAGCAACTAAATGAATTTCATACAATCAAAGTAGATTTTCTTCTATTCAAATATTTTATGTTGTCGTACGATCGATGTCATAACAAACAAGTCATAATTGAACGAAATCTTCATAAAACAAAAAATGTACAGTTCGATACATCATTATTTATTTTATGCATTAGAGATATCGATATAAATTTCATAAGAAGATAAAGAGAAGATAGATTGTATTCCGTGACCTAACAGTTGAGCTCCCGACAGATGAGCCCCGACAGTTGAGCCCCGACAAATGAGCCCTCGACAGTTGAGCTTACCGACAGTTGAGCCTACCGACAGTTGAGCTCCCGACAAATGAGCTCCCGACACTTGAGCCTCATATTAAAAAAAAATAATAAATACAAAACAATATATTCATTTAAATATATTTTAGATCTATATCAAAAATGAAACATCTCTTGCTCGTTTAAAGTACATATCTCTTGTAATTATATAAAAAAAAAAGAAGCCAATTGTTGTAATTGTTCATCTATAGGTTCATATTTGACATGTCGTTTGAGTTTCATTGAACCATATCGTAACTGTTCTGCCATAATTAATGTCGCGTGTTGCTCAGTTTTTAGATCTTTTATTGATTCGTTTATTGATGGATGTGAACGAACAGAGTACTAAAAAGAACGACTAGCACAGTCATTTCGACAACAACGCCAAATAATTTGAGATTCATTTGCACGACGATAACGATAACCACTAAGTAAAATTTGATCCTTGTTTTTTGAAGATTTCACGATTGACATTGTTAATGATAATAGAAAAATATACCAAGAATTATAAAACCTTTATGAGTCACAGAAATATTGTTCGAAAAACTTGTTCATTTCTGTACAGATGATTGACTTAGCCACCAAAAATATATCGACGAGCCATCAGTACCATCGATATATGTCTCATGTTTCCGTGCACTATTTTCAAGTGAATTAAGCGATTCAATAATAATTTCGTGTGTTCTATATTTAATCGATGAAATTTCAATTTTGTGAGGCTCAAATGTCGGGAGCTCATTTGTCGGGAGCTCATTTGTCGGGAGCTCAACTGTCGGTAGGCTCAACTGTCGAGGGCTCATTTGTCGGGGCTCAACTGTCGGGGCTCATCTGTCGGGGGCTCAACTGTCGGTGCACCATTGTATTCAATTGCACACCCAAAAACAATAAAAATAAAAAATGCGAAAACTTCGGATTTTATCCGAAAGTTAAGTGTACTAAAAAAGTGAATGAGGCAGATTCAGTCATTGTAGAGTGTCTCGATAGCAAAATTATCATCCAACATCTTTTCTATAAACACGACTTCTCTTCACTCTTGCACCTTCACAAAGATTTACGGTAGAATAGAACTCACATTTGAACTGATCGTCTTTATTTATTCTAAGAGAACCATTTTTTGTCATAAGTTGATTTAAATTGTTACTGATCAACAGATGCAGCTTTGAAACAAATGAAGTACAGATTTAAGCTCTCTGACCCAGAGAAACTCGAAGTCGCATATCTCTGATCCGATTAAAGAATTCAAATTATGGAGTCCTGAGGCCATGAATAACATGCGAACCACTTCTTCTTTAATTTTGCTTCTCTTATAAATGCTTAGCGTTCTTATTCCTTTACACATTAGATACTATTTCGTAGAAGATAAAATTCTCTATGAAATGATATATAAAAAAATAGTAGAATTTTATTCAACTCTGATGGAAAAGTTTCTTATTAAAGTGACAATATAACGATCTTTCCATCGAAAAATCATTGGAATAAATCAGTATCTTTCCAATAGCTCCGGAAGAGCTCATCCAATCAGGCTCATCTTCGAACTAGATCAAAACATTAATGAAATTGAACCGGGTGGAAAATTTCATCAGTATCTGACTCTTCCTTCGAAAGTTATCATGTAAACGGTCGGCCGGCGGGTCCGATACACTGATCGATTCTATAGTGGACTCACTTTTTGAGTACATTAACACTATGATTTAGTTCTAAAATAATATCAGATTTAGAATCAGCGTTAAAAATTGAGTCGATTTCTGTATTTTCTGAATAATTATGAACAAAAAAATTTTTTTCGAAAAATCCCTGTACTCCTCTCATGGATTGTCTGGTCAAAAATCACCATTTTTTCTATAACTCAGCCATTTCTTGACGAATTCTTCTTATCTTCGAACTCAACCGAGATATTGTAAAGACTGAAATATGTAAAAAGTTTCATCGCAATCTGACTCTCTTTTCGAAAGTTATCATGTAAACGGACGAACACACTGACCGATTCTAGTAGTGTACTCACTTTTTGAGTACACTAAAAATTGAATGAAATTTTTTTGTGTTAGATACCAAAAGACAGAGCATTGAAAGCTGAACAAAATTATCTATTGACATATTATTTCTGTAAAGACTGATTCATAGTTATTTATAAAATACTATTCATGAATACTCATTTTTTGTAGTCAAATTATGGTATATTTAATGCCATTCAATCATTTTAAAAGGTACCACGCTAATTTTCATGTATGTTATACAAAATGGTAAAACAGAAGTTTAAAGAAAAGCTAGAGTTCTGACCGAAATGTAGCTCACAATGTTGACTAACCGGACAACATTTATAAGAAAATTCCACATAGTTAAAGCATATTTTAATGAATATGTGCTTTATGTAAACTAATCAATCGAGGTTTGAGCGTGTGTACCGATAAAAAGGAGACACTCAGCACATTCACCCACACTCCAAATATAGTTCGATCAGCACTAGTTAGAGACTAGAGCATAGTCTTTACATAGAGAGAGATCTCTGACAAATGAAATTTTTCTTTCAATAGAGAAAGTATAAATTATCAGCCACAGATATGATAAGGTAATATTATACATAATAGTATAGAAAACATGCTAATGAAACAGGATAATCTTATCGAGAAACTTCTTTCTCACCGGTTTCTTCTGATGAAACAACAGAAAATATCATGTCGGATATCCACTTAAGATGCAGAGAAATAAACAAAAAACAATATGCTAGCTAAATTTTTTCAAATGAAAAATAATGAATAGATTCTAATAAGCTTTAGAGTAGATCCATCTAACTCCGTTTGGAGTTTCAACTCAATAAAGAAAAAAAAGTGGGAAAAAACTTTCGCAAAAAAGCTGATTTACTTGTAAATCACATCATTTTTTTAATTATTTCTATCTCTTGAAGCCAATAACTAGACTCGTTTACAATAATAGTCATTGATACATACTTTTAGAATGATGGATCTACTTGTGTCATAAGGAAGTTGTTACTCTTAATACCTCTAAATCTAATCAAAGAACATGGTTCTACTCAGTTTTTTTTAAAGTTTTCGAAAATAAAAGAATTGAAACAAATATTTAGTAATTTCTTCAGAAAACATAAGTTCAGCAAAAATATTTTCTAGCGTTTTTCTCTATTAAATATGGATCGAATTGTAATAATCAACTTTTCTGCTTCTATCAGACCATAAAAAGATTTTGTATTTTCACCATCTCAAAAACGAAGAACTCTTTAATCTTGCATGTAATACTTAGAATATCTGTTTATTCTTTTTTTCAGTCAATATTACTTATATTCGACAATATAACATAAAAATTTCAGTATTTTCTGCTTTTTCTTTTTATCATCCCAGGTGAACAAAAATAGGGGTATGACGGGCAACATGTCTAGTCAAAAACGTCAACCTGCTAGTCAAGTCTAGTCCTAAATATACTACATGAAAGTCATGACTAGTCCTTTCAGCACGAAACGTCTTACTGATATGGCTGGACTAGTCGAATGTTTCTGGAAGTGCCATCATGACTAGTCTGAGACGTCTTGGAAAGGAGTCAAGTAGGGCGTACGTTTGAGAATGAGAGTCGGGCTGTCTTGGCATAGTGTATTGCATAAGTAAGTGTAGACTGGACCAGACTGTCTATCATATATGATGACTAGTCTATTTTGTCCTTGCATACTCTCCAGACTAGTCAGTAAAACAAAAGGTATAGAAAGATAGATGATGACAGGTGGATTCGAACACCCAACTTCATGATGCTGGATGTCTGACTAGTCTGAACGTCTCAGATGACGATTCCGATTATCGTGCAGTGTCATTTGAATCCTTCATAACTAAATTGTTTTTGAGAAAGCAACACCAAACCTGCTCCAGACTAATCTAAGCTCTTGAAAAACATCTTTGACATCCATCTTACTTTCCAAACAGCGTGTTTAAACTAGTTTGTTATGCTACTAAAAATGGTTTGCAATGCTGTGCAAGGAGACTTCAAAACACTTAAAATATGTCCTGTAGTGTCTGATTCAGAATTAGATATTCTTATCAAATAAATCGGTAAGAAAATATTAGTCACTTTTTTCATTTTAAATAGGAGCAGTTTTCTTAAATGAAGTAATGACAAAGTCTATCGAATATTCCATCATATATGACTTGAACACTTTTATTTATCCATGTAAAAGTACACGTCAAGTGTTTTCTTTAACTAAGAACATTCGGGTTCTTGTAATAAGCTGAAGTAAAATGTTAAAACACAAAGTAGTACACAAAATTACACAGTAGATGCAAATATCTTAAGGAAGCTGTATATTTGTGTGCTTGGAAATTTCTACATTGTACAATAGGATTGCGTTTCATTTTGTTTGAAAAAATATTTAAATATCATTATAAGAGAATTTCTATTTTAAATTTTGATTCTGGTAAATTGGGTTTAAAAATAGATTTAAACCATAAAATTATAGTTTAGTGTCATATTGGAAACGAAAAGAATTTATATTAAAATAAATAAATTATCATATGAAAAAATCTATTTTTCTTTAGGGGAGTTTTGCTTGTTCTTAATTTTTTTATTTGAAAACAGAAAAATTTTTCTTAAAATTTAGATGAATAAATTTTTTTGAATACTAAAAAACTTCTGATTTATTTTTGTCCATATTGATAATAATAATAATAATGAATTTTACGCAAAATATTTTTTTTTATTCATATCAAAACTTGAAAATTTTGAGCAACTGTTATGCAGTATTTTAGAATGTCATAGAAATATTAATGTTGATCATTAACTCATATATGGTTCAATGGATTAAGCGATGGGTAAGTTAATATATTTTGTCGCAGTTGGTTAGAGAATTTAGTTGAGATTGGAATTCATATAAATATAGAAATAATATCTATATCTATATTTTTAATTAATAGGAGAGAAAACAGAATTGGTAAATTTAGGAGATTATTTCACATATAATAGATAAATTATTCTTTTTTACGAGAGACAAAGTAAAAATATGAATGCTTTAAAATATATTATTAACTTAAAAGAACAGTTTATATAGAATATAAGGGAAAAATAATATGGCGGTTGTTTATATTAATTTGATTATTTATTTATTTTATTGATGAGCGGGACATGCGGGACATTGAAATTTGTATTAGATAAAAATATACAATTTATTTTTTTCTTATAAGATAGATAGAATTTTTTTT